AACATTAAATTCCTCATCCATTATGGAAAAAAAAATGTTATACGAGAAGGATTGAAGTTTAAAATTACAAAAGAGAGTAAACGATACAAGAGAAAACACTAATAAATTAATTTAAAATAACTTTTTGGTGCTTTTTTTTATTTTTTATTTTTATAGTAGAGTTTGTAGACTGGAGCTATTTATCGTGGATTTTTCTATAGTGATAGCAATTTCTTCTTAAGGTTAAATGGACGAAGAGTAAGTGAAGTGGATTTTTTCAAAGGAAAGCTGTCGCTTTTAGTAGCAATGGCCGCAGCCATTGGACACGTTGGTGTACAATCTATCAAGTCTTTTATGAAGTTTTACTGCCGGACAGAAATGGCCGAGCCATATCCCCACCATCTGCTTGGCTGTTGAGCCTGTGGGATAAGGTTTTTATGGCTAAGGGATTACTTCCTTCTGGCCGTGCATCCAGACAATGTAAACTCTGGCCAATCATCTACCACTGAGAAGGTAGTCGGCTCGGCCATAAAGCCGCTCTAACAAATTAATATATCTATCAGTGGCACGCTTGTCTTGAAGATATACTTTAACTTCTTATTCTTTTTACTTGTATTTTAACTTTCTTACTTTCTTGAACTAAGATGGATTACGCGTAAGAAGGTAAAAACTTCTCCCATAAGAAAGAAAAAAAAAAAGAAAAAATTAAAATATAATGTATTGTCTACTTAAACTGGCGCCATCTGTTATTCTTTAATACAATTAAATATTCTTATTGAAAAATGTTTTATTTTGAAGAACAGAATAACAGATGGCGCCATAGAATTTATTATTTTAATTTTATATCGTTTTGAAATAAATTTAATAAAATTGAATTTATATATAGTAATTATTTTTAAAGTTATATTTATTTATTAAAAAATTATGTAAGTTTCTAAAAATATAATAAATGGTATAAAAATTATGGTATATTAAAAATATTATATAACATTTAGTAGACGCGTATTTTAAATTTAATTTTATACTTATAGACACACGCAATTTTATATATTATTATAGTAAAAAAAAAATTTATTTTTGTAAGACGTTCTGAATTTCATATTATCTTCAATAATAATACTTATTTTACTTCCTAGATGGCAGTAGATTCGTGAAATTTCCCCAGACCTTGAAATTTCCTAGAACTAGCTTTGAATAATAATTACACATTTACCTTTATCTCTCTTTTAATTTCTGTAATTGTGTTTAACCAACTTTGAATTTTGGATCTTAGGGATGAGAGAATCTTATGATTGATCCATAAAGGAGTTCAACATTATAAAAACTCCAGATTCACAGCTTATTATTGTCATGACAATCAAAAAGACAGTTATAAAACATGTTTTATGACTTTTTTTTAATATTTGGTTCTCCATTTCTTTCTCATCAATTGCTGTAAGAAATCAATCCCTAATACTGGAGTCATTGATCATTCTTGACACATTAAAACGGAATATCCATCATCACTATTGTTTTATTCAAAAATTAATATATTTATCAATTTAGACAAATGCAAATGAAATTTTTATCATTTGCTAACTTAGAATACGTTAAATCCGAACGTTTACTTCCGGCAAGATGCTAGGGTTTAATCGTTCGAGTCTATCTACAAAAAAAATTTCCCGAATGTTGGATTGGTTACGGAGGACCAATTTACACCACTAGATTTTCTTTGGGGTTTGTCAAAAACAGGGTGTACACAACAAAGGTTTGTGACATTGAAAAACTGAAAAGATGAATTGGTGAAGTCTGTGGAGGAATAACTGCAGAAATGCTCTTACAAATGGGTCAAAATTAAATGCCACCGGGATAGTTTATGTACCACACTGGAGCTCATAAATATTTTACACTTTAAATAAATTTTCTAATGGCCTAGTAAATAAAACAGCATACGTGAGAGTGCTTAACTATGTTCTTTTTATTCCTCCTCAAAATGTGCTCAATAATTTATACTACCCTGTATATTGATCATAAGTTAAATATAATTTAAAAATTTTTGGAATAAAAAAGAAATTACTACTGTTTAAAATTGAGAATGTAATGCTAGAATTTCAAATCAAAAACAAATTAAAATACAAATTTTTAATTTTAGACTTTTACTGAAACAATTCAAAATTATTATAAAAACTTTAGAGTTTATATAATTTGCATTTATTACAGTTTTAATACCAAAATGCAATTGTTTAGTACGTTGCTGAAATATTCTATTACAAGATAATGGAAATAAATTACCGTAAAATTATTTCTGAAATTAAATTTTCTTTCTTCCAAAATAATAATTTTCCAAACTCAAAACTTCAAGCAATACACAAAAACACGCAATCTCCAAAATTACTTTTTATTGACACTTGAACTTTTTTATAAAGACAATACAATATTCCTAAAATTAAATAAAGACAATATTCTACATTAGTTTCACAATATAAATAGATTTAAATTTTCTCATAATAAGAAAACACAATAATTACTTTAAATATGAAAAAACAAAGCATTAAATTAAGCCATGGAATTATTTTCATATCACATTCTGTGAAACAAAACATTAAATGTGGCAGTGTACTTTGGAACTTAGCTGATTTAATAATATATAAATAAAAACTTTTATATATATAATTTTAAATATAATTCAAAGTTTATCTGGAATTCTTAAAAAAATAATAATAATCAAAATCAATCACAGGAAATTCTAAATCAAGAAAACCAAAACGCTGCCTCGATAAATACACAAAACACAGACATTTATATACATTTATATACACTGTCATTGATTGACAATTTGAGTGATTATGACAAAAAATAAATTACTATCACAGCTAGGAAGACAGCATGATCGGCATAGGCACCAGGCCAATACGAATGTTATGTCTGTAAGAAAGTATCATTGGTCTCAAATATAAATATCACGACATTATTTGAGCAACATAAATATAGATGGTTGATATGTGCATTATAATCTTAGCCAAAGTAACTATACTACCACTATTATTATTAATTATAAAATTAACTCTCAAAAATCAAGATAGAAAATGATCTAATTCTAATTTCCGAATCACTTAAAATCTGGTTTAATGCTTAATAATTTTCAAGTATAAGATTTTATGACTGAATGAATGTTAAAAGTTAGATTTTATTATTGTAATATTCATTTTCAGAATAAAGTTAAATAATCTTTGCAAAGTAAATGTAGGTTAGTGATATATGTACTGTACTTAATATGGTTAATATATCCAATCAAACAATTTTTTTTACTGTGCTCCTGACAATGAACAAAGCAGTTTGAATTAAGTTTATGTTTGATCAGCTTTTTTAACAAGTGTATTGTTTTTAACATACAGTGAACTCCTATATAACATGAATTTGTATAATGCAATGAAAAAATTGCAACTAGTACTCAAACAAAATTTGAATTTTGTCATTCAGAGATTTTCTTCTTCAACTTCTAGGTCTAGGTTTAAACTTGCATAAAATAGTCTGATAATAAAGTCCTTGATAACATGATTTCCTTAATCTTTATCACACAACTAGGTGCACAGGTTTACACTAGGCCAGGGGTGGCCAACAGTTTTTGCCCCCAGGCCGAATTGGAAAGAAAACTTTTTCGACGGGCCGAACCCTAGAGGCTGGCCTAGGAAGATTTTGAGGTGGTGCGAGATCACATTGTGGTGTCACCCTGTAGAGACTAAATTGTACATAGAGATTACAGATACATTTTTCACATTATCATGCATTATCAACATTCTACGCTGTACTTAAGAGATTTGTAGTGGAGAGTTAACTCAACGCGCAGTGAGTTGTTGACTTTGTTTTTAGGCATCAGAATTTTTCATCGAGCTATTCGGACTTGAGTAGCTAATATTGAAATATTAATCATGGACTGCATAAATTTATTAGACAGGTGGGATTTGGCCCGCGGGCTGTATGTTGGCCATGCCTGCACTAGGCTTTTTTTACATCACACTGTATTCTGCAATACCTTAGATGCTGATACTCATTTCATGCATATGCCCCTCATATGTCAGCTTTATCTTAGACATTTAGCATAGTGATGCAAACTATTATATACACTTTTAAAAACACATATATACACCATTAAAATTATCATGATTTAGTGCACTAAACAGAACTTAACATTCTTCGGCACTACCAGTTTCTACCAGGTTTTTCTTAATCTCATTCCTATAATGCAGAATGTAACCTCTGCATTGTAAGGGGATCCACTGTATTTTAAAATATATTAAACCAAACATAAATCTAACTCAAAGTGCTTTGATATGAGCAAAACATATTTGCTTTGAATAGATAAAATATTCTTTAATTTATGTTATAGATATAAAAATTAATGAATGAAAAACATTTAATCTCTTCTGATTTCAGTTAAACTGTTCTTTTTATCATTTTGACATTTCAATAAAAAATGTTATTGTATTATTATGTATACAGTCGACCCCCTACAAGATATAGATACGTTCCAATTTATTAGGAATCCGATTTCTTACAAGTTGTTCCAATCACAGCCCGACACGTGTCAAGTTTACGGACTACAGCTGATTGAAAGGTTTTCTTCCATAAAATTAATCGATTCTACACTAATCCGACTCAACATTTCCAAAATACGTATATTTTTTCGTAGTTTTATAGGAATCGTAATTATAGGGACGTCGACTGTAATTAGCAGTGACACTAAATTTAACTAAATTACACAATATTCTTTTCTTAAAATTTAAAAATTTTGAATGCAGGAGGTTTTATTTTAGACACTTTTAGAGAAAAAGGATCAAACTTTTTGTTTCCAAATGTACTTAATTGGAAATGACAAATGTACGAATGATATATAGATGCATGACAAAAATTTTCCCAATGTTTCAATTGAAATATTTTTTTTAACTTATCATTTCTAAACTAATTTCTTGTGTTTTAATGTTTTAGAAAAGATAAATTTGAAGAAATGTATATTGTGTATGTGATATATATTGTAAACATTTTACATTAATGTATGAATTTTTTAAAATTTAAGATTTTTGAGAGTTAATATCATACTACAGTAATTAAAAAAAAACAAAAAAAATGGCACACTTACTGGAATGAATGAAACAAAATATTGTCTCAAAAATAAACATCTGAAAGACAAAAATAGCATTTGCACAAAATATTTCCTATACAGCTTGCATTACATAAAACATCTCAAAAATATATGTATATATCACAATACAAGGACACCATTTTTTTTCTCTTTATAAATAAAAGTGATAATGATTAAAAATCTTTTGTTTCAGCAAATTGCTGAAGAACAGACAGTGCGTACTGAAGTCTTGTTCTTATACAAGGTTCACACCCTTGCTGTGCAATGTCGGATAACAGATAGCTAGTAGATAAGCGTTCTTCGCTTATATATGTTACAATTCCTTTCCTTTGATCAATACTAATCACTATTTTGGTATGATCTTTAAAAAAGTTTATCTATAAAAACATAAATAAAATCATTTCAGTTTAAGATATTTTTTAATTCAGTGTGTAAAGACATTTTAGTATTGACAATCACCTGCACTGTACCGGTACTTAGCTGCATAAGAATGGCATGAGATGTCCGCACCCATCGTTTCATGTGAGGAATGTGACTTTTACCTTTTTGTGGAGAATATTCAATCATGTGAGGTTCTCCACCCTAACAAAAATATAACAAATTCAATTCAGAATTTAGTTATTATAGAAATATATATATATATATATACACTGTATTTAAAAATTAAATGATTATTCACCTCAGTAAGATTTTCATCCATATACTGAGCAAAATATTTTAATAAAGTATATTTTTCAAGCAAGCTTGAAGGTATATTAGTAATAGTAAAAATACTAAGTTTTCCATTTAAGTCATGATATTCAATATGCCTGAAAGAATATTGTAAAAAGTTTAAACAATGAAAATATAATCTGATAGAAAAAAAAAATGTGAGTAAAGTCAAGTACTTACGTACGATCTGATGACAAACTGATTTTACTAGTGTCATTAAAAAGTACACCAATACTGTAATCTGACAACTGAAAACCAAACCCATATTTATTAGAATAATCAATCCATTTTGTCACAAATACAACCAAATGGTCATCAATTGGTGTTGGATTGGTTAATTCATCTGAAACGAAAATTTGTACATAATACTTAATATTAAATTAAATTAAAATAAACTACAATTTTAAAATTACAAATTTTATATTTATTTAATATAAAACTTCATTTCTACATTTTGTTATGAATTTAACTTTCAAAAGAATTAACTTTATATATATGCTGTATTCTGAAGTTATTTGATTATTCCAACCTGAAATCTAGGCTATAAATAATGTCACACATTACAGTTTACATTAATGATTACAAAAATAAAATTTTTTTTAAAATGTCTTATATAGTGCAAATTAACCTCTTCAACATTAACTGGATTGATACCTATAGCTAAGTACACCAATAAAAACCTTGACAATCAAGTAAATAATTTTATATAAATTCAACAAACGTTTTTTGATCATGTCAAAACAAATGTATATCAAAAACGTTTGTCGAATTTACATTAAATTATTTACTAGATTGTCAAGGCTTTGATTGGTGTACTTAGCTATATAGTGCAAAAAAGAAATAAATTTTTAAAGCAATATATTTTTTCAAGTTAACATATAGATTTCTTAAATAACTTAACGAACTGTTCACAAATTCATCAATTTAAAAATTTTATATCAAAAAAAACTGTAGAATATTAAAATCATACAGTATTTTTATTTAACTAACCTCTTTCAGAAATTACTAAGTAAATAAATAAACATTTTTATCTATAAATTTTTCTAAATAATTTTTTAAATATTTACTTAAATACAGGATATGTGATGATTGTAATAAAGTTTTATTTACATTATACAGTTACTTTCATTTGCTTTTAATAAAATAATATTTTTAAATTGAAACAAAATAAATAGAAATTTAGATAATTGGATATTTGAATTTAAACAAAATTATTTTCTTAAATATTATTATATTTCATATTATATAATCAAACAATAACAAAATAAATCAAATTAATGCAACAAGTTAAACTATAATAATATAGGAATTCAAAAAATCTATCAAAATCATTTCAATCTTTCTTTGGGTTGATGCCAAGGTCGTTGAATGCTATCATTCTTGAATAACTTTCAATGTTATTTTGAAAAACTATTCAGGAAAAAAAATTATATTAAATATGCATAATTTATGCATATTTTTAAGATAATTTTTTAACCTGAGGCAAAGATTTTAGGCATGTAAAAATAATATATATAATTACATAAAAAATATATATATATTACTAATTTTAACATACCTGTTGGCATACTTTCTAAAGATGATTGAACAATTTGATATAATGCTAAAGTTGAATACTGCTTAACTTTTTTACCTGATAAAAAGTTAAGACATAATTATTATTAATTAATTAATAATAAAAATTTATTCTTTTATATATATAATCAGAATCAATTAAATATTTGTATGTGCATCAACAACAGTTTTACAAAATCATAATTTATTACATTCTCAATATTTAATTTTAATTATTATTTCAAAGTTATTATTATTTACTTAAAACAGATCATAAAAATTTTTAATCTCTATTAAATTGTGTTGATTCTAAACATTACGACCTTTTAAAAATATTTAAAGAATAAATAAATAAATACCTTTTTCAGGACAAAAAATATTACTTAATTTTTTCTTGAATGAAGAGAGTGATTGGTGTTTTGACTGAAAATAAAAAAAAAATGAAATAATTTTAAAATTAAATAACAATTTCAAATAGAAATATTAAAACTTTTAAAATAAATTATTTTCAATTGCAATGATAAATGATATTTATTTTCATCAGCAAATTAATTACTGTAGGATTAAGTTTATTTTATTTAAAAAAGAGCTAAATTAAAATTTTAAAAAATATTATTTGTGATGTTTCAGTTTAAGTAAACATTTCTAAACAAGTAATTTAATATTTTATTACTAATTAATTAATCATTACTAAATGTTAGAAATTCTTTTTGCCTAATTTATATGAATCGTTAAAAATTCATTTGATGAAAATTGATTAATTATTAAAAATAATTACTTCATTATTCTACTCAGCTTATTTTTGTAACTTTATTTCAAATTAATTTATGTTTTATTAAATTAAAACAGAATAATAATACCTTTGTAACTTTTGACTTTGGTTGAGCATCTAGCTGCATATTTGTGATTGAATCTGTGATATCTTCCATCTGACTTGATATACTTGCAGAACATCTATATAATAAAAAAATATATATTTATTATATTCTTGAAGATTAAAGAATAAAATAAAAGAAAGTAAAAAAAAAATAATAAGAAATACACAGCTTTATATTTAAATTAGAAAATCTTGACTGCTGACAAATTAACTATTATGATACTACATTATATTGCATGCTCATTAAACAGTTTTACTTTAAAATTATACAAATAATTCTTGTATTACAGAGAAAAATATTGTTTATAAAATTTTATTTTGTGCAAAAAAAAATATACAATAATTCATCTAGCTATGCTAAATTAATGATACAAATTTGTAATAAATAAGCAAATAAATTCAGACAAGCTTTAAAAATAGTTTAAATATAAAGGAAGTAATTTCTATATCATACTAGTAATTTTATTGGTTTTAGTAAACTTAATATTTTTTTTTTAAACTTATAAAATCAATGAAAAATTATTCTGTCACATATAGTTGATTTTTATAATAATAAGAAGAAAAAAGTTCAAAGTTATATTGAATTAAGATAAAAATCTTGACAACATTTTGAAGAATAAAAATCAATATTCCTTGCAAAGTAACAAATTAAAATCAATAATTCCAATTCTCCAAACAATGTATTAAAGTTTTATCGATATTTTAATTTAGATAAAAAATAATAATGTTCTTTTGTATTCATTGTATAGTTTTTCTATAGAATATTTGCATTAATTAATATTAAACTCACCTTGAAAGTGTTACAACAGATGGAAATTTAGGAGAAACCATGCAACACATAGGTGATAACTCAGTAGGAGTGTAACCAGTGGTAAAAAATGAATGTTTAAGAATTTGTTCAATAGAAGGCCTATCAGTTGGTTTGTTTTTTAACATTTTCATTATAAGATCAGCTGCCGGCTCAGAAATATTATCGGGAAGACTGTACTTATTGCCAACTATACGAGCATAGGTTTCAGTTAATGTGGAAGTCTCAAAAGGAGGTTGGCCAACTAACATAGCATACCTAAAAATCGACATTAAAAATATTATTTTACAAAATTTTATATATAACTAATCAATATTTATTTTACACGGATTTCACTTACATAATACAACCGACAGCCCAAATATCCGTTTCCATATAATGGCCCTCCATATTCAATACTTCTGGAGCAATATAATTTGGAGTACCACAAACAGTCCTTTAAAAATTAAGTAAATAAAATATAAAAGATCATTTTAATAATTAATTTAAATATACACATTTTCTTAGAGAAGTATTTAATTACATTTTTGCATTCTTTTCACTTTCATAGTAAGTAGCAAGGCCAAAATCTCCAATTTTGAGTTCCATATTTTCAGTTAGAAACAAATTTCCCAATTTTAAATCTCTATGAATAATTCCTTTTCTGTGAATATAATCCACACCTTCTAAAAACTGAAGCATGAAGTACCGAACTTCTGGTTCTGTAAGTAACTTTCTGTTCTTCAAAACATGGACTAGTGACTAAAATAGAAAAAAAATTATTATTTATTCTCATTAAAATATTTTTAAAAAGCATTAAGTTTAAAATAACCAAAGAATTACGAAAATTTCTATCTTAAAACAATGTTAAATACTATATAAAACTGATTTTTTTTTTCAGTAAAGAAATCATTTCAAGCTTTAGATATCATTAATTATCTTTCACAAAAAAAATTAAAGTTACTTCCTAATTTAGTACATTGTTCCCTGATTATACCAGCTTTAACAATCAAAACATTCACTTTTAAATTCATATATCTTTTCGTTTCCTCTGTGTAACAGCTGGTCAACGTGAGTAATCAATTTCTTAGAATGAAACTGATCAATTAAAAGATCTGAATTAAGTGACGTCACGACAGCATCTAGTAGCACCTGCCACTGTGTTTAGGGTCATATGGAGGGTCAAAACTTTCCGTTAATTAAGCTTAAAGAACTTCCGTGATAAAAGGAAAAAGTCCCATCCCGATTATGAAGGGAACTAATTTTGTTCATTAGATTCGGTTTAGTTCGCATCCTTTGTTTGTAAGAAAGAAGAATGAAGCAAGACTAAACGTTTTCCAAGTCGTTGAACTTAGATTTTCTCATGGCATCATTTCGAACAGATCGAACAAAACGTGATTAAACGGTCTGGCGATGAAGCGCTCTTTATTTATCTTACGAAGATATAAAAAAAGAATACAAACACACGAATCTACATATAAAAATATATATACATATTTTACCTTTCTTGTGCAATATTCTAGAACGATATAAACGTGATCGTCATCTTCGAAGAAGTGATGAAAACGGACGATCCGTTTATGCGTTAAGGAACGATGTAATTCAATCTCTCTCAATATCTAAAAGTAAAATTAAATCGATAAATAATTTATACATTACAAAAAAAAAAAAATTAAATAAAGACTTTCATCTACAAATCACAATTCTCTTCAATCAAATTTTCCAAACCAATTTGTTTGTAGAATTTTTTTTAATTATTCAGTAAAATATTTAAATTTAATCTCTTTATATAAAGAATATTTTTTTTATGGATTATTTTTATGTTTATGTACCAGCTGCGTTTAATTATTATCTATGTATCGTATACAAAACAGATTCTGCATTTAAGTATATTTAATCTAGGCTACTCGTTATTCATTGCAGAATCATTAAGCAAGTAAATACGTAAATTTATAGATTTTCGATAAAGTATTTGTTTTTATGTTGAGTCCATAAAGAATATTATATTTATAACATGATATTTTGAAACTATTAGTAAATCCAAAGTTGAGTAAATCCATTGAAAATCAATAAATATCATTCTAAGAAAAACCTTTTAATAGACTAAACATTATCGATTTAAAAATAATTCGAACAAAATAATGATATATATAATATTTTATTTACCTTTTCTTTCTGATGAGCTGTTATCAGTCTACATTTTGGAATGATTTTTCCTGCGTACAGTCTATTTGTTGTAAGATCGGTTAGTTCGTGTACTCTAGCAAATCCACCCTAAAATAAATACATATTTACGTATAAATCATCATCGCAATCATCATTATCCGTTGTATATTTAGTTTATGAATATTAAAAATATAATTATCGAAGCATTACTTTATTATTAACAAGATCATAAATATAAATTTGATCATTCAAAATTATGCCTATTAATAATAATAAACGTCTGTTTTTTTTTTTTTTTTTTGTTGTTGATATAGGCCCATATGAATTTATTTTTCATTAATTAAAAAGGAAAAAAGAAAACACTAAATATGACATAATTTTTAAGTTTTTATTTATATAATAAACTTTTAATTTTGTTCATTACATCACAGTTTGAAACTAAAATTATTCCTTACAACAATTACTAATTTTACACATTATTTATTACATCATTTATGCGTTATCTGATGTAGAAAAGAAAGCTCTGTTATTTAATTTTATAAAGCATAAAAATAATTTAATTCATTTCTTAGAAAAAAAAAAACGTTGAAATTAAATAGGGAAACGCGTCATATTTTCCTAGAAAATCAACTTGTAATTTTTCGTAATATTCCGCAACAGAATAAAAGTTTTATCATAATAAAACCAGTAGTGGTTTTAAGTTTTGAGAAGCCCTAGGCAAACAGATAGCCAGGCCCTTTTTATATAATTTATAGCCCATATCACGAGATATTTGATACTGCAACAAGGTCTAGGATCCTAACTAGCATGAATTCCGAGTAGTAGATCAAGATCTGGATAATGGACAAGCCCATATGTTTGTACCTATCTGAGGCCCTTAAAAACACAAGGCCCTAAACCTAAAACCCATCTTAACACACTGATTTATAAATATTTCGTACTTTATGTTATATAAATGATGAACAGAATCATTAATCGTTAAAAATATATTCTAATATTAAAATAATAAAAGAACAATTTTAAGAAGCGAAGTGCTCTCGATAATTAATCTCAAATATTAACACTAGATCTTAAATGCTCGTTTCAAATATTAATATTCCTTTATGTAAACATTGCATAGTAAATTTATGTATGTGCGAACGGATGTTAAATTACTATTGATAAAATATTCAAATTTAAGATGAGAATCTCTTATATTTTGATATTTAAAAGAAAGATTTCGAGTGAAGATAGATACGGAGATTGTGGTTACGCGCTGAAAATTATCAGTAAATCCATTGTATATAAGAAAAATTATCTGCCAAAAATCTCTTCATGATCTCATAACTACCATCATCATCAAAACTCGAGATGAAATTGGCTGTGGGCGTAGTCCAATTTTTTTTATTCGTGCCAACAACGAACCATCAACAACCTTTCATCTTGTGAGAAGAAAACCACTATTTTGCAACTCGTAAATGAATGCTGCCTTAGAAGAAATATAAGAGTCAATAACGGGCCGACATTGTGATAAAAGTCGTGATAGAAGACAAAAACTATTCTTTTTACTAAAATCCTTTTATAAAAAAGTCAAAATAAAAGTCAAGAATTTTTCCTTAAAATATATATATATATATAAAATACGTTTTTATTTTCATTTTTCTGAAATCAAAAGTGACGTCATGTGGAAAAATCCCAATATTCTCAACATCAAAATTGACGTCACGTCCTACGTTGGATGATCTGTGACGTTGCAAGACGTTCATTTAATTATTAAAGCTTTTTTTAAATAAGAAATTTAAAATTTAATCATTTATATACATTTTTAAATTACGTAGCGAATATTTATTTTAAAAAAAATAAAATAAAAATAAAATAATAAAAGCAGACAATGCAGTCGAAATGACGTCATTTCTAACGTCTGACATCATTTCTTAACTACATCGTTTTAATTATTTAAACTAAAAATACTTTTTTTTTTAAATTTCTAAATATACTATACGTAGCCAATTAAAAATTTAGTTAAACAGAGCGTAAATATATATTTATGGATATAATTAAGACGACATTTATATTTATATATTATATACAGATGTATTTATAAAGGGTTATAATTTAAAAATTTTTATTTTATAAATAAAGAAAGGAAAAATCGGATGAGAGAAATTTCGACCAATAAACAAGCGCGAATCCGTTTATTCCCAGAATAGATTACCTGATTGTTATTGGACCTGTTTTCTCGGAATGGGAGACAGCAGAGCACGCATTATTCCTTCTTTTAAATTGTTATTCGGCATTAATATCTATAAACGTGACAGTAAAAAACGAGTAAAATTCGATTTTGTGCATATCACCGAAATAAAAATAAAACTAGCCAATAGACGGCATCGTTACATACAGAAACAACTATTATAATGCCCTTTACAAGAGTAAATTTTATTCTTCTCGATGGAAAGAGAAAGAAAAAGAAGAGAGGAGGGGGTAAAAGAAAAGAAAGAAAAAAAAAAAACTAGAACTGAAATAATGAATGCTGCAATCCTTTTCACATTCTAAGCGCTGTACTATAATTTTTTTCCTTTTTTTTTCTTCATAACTTTTTAAACAGGCCGGATTTTCTTAAAAGATAACTCTATTGTCGGCTTTGGTAGCCATACAAAGACAGTTCCAATTATTGTTACAGAGTAATTAGATTTCGTATAAGTCCCAGAATCGACTAAAGCTCCGGGGTATGGAGGATCGACAGGTTTACAATTGCCACGATCTGACGTCACAGTTTCCTGCCCTACAGAAACGAGGATGTGACGTCATTCAATGGGTTAAGGTGTGTTGAACAAGAGTGGGAATATATTTACAAAAAATAAAAAAAAAAGTTAAAAAAATTCCGGGAAGCAAACGTGTGTGTTTGTGTGTGTGAAGGCTGTAAAACTGTGTGTTAAAAGTTAAATAATGCAACGGGTGAATGTCCAGAGACAAACAGTTTGTGCGTGGTTCTTTAACTTCAATAGGGGGTAAATCTTGTTAGAAAGTAGGAAATAAAAGTTTTTTTTTTGTTTTCAAATTCGTTTCTGCAATGAAAATCAATCAGTAAAGTCTCTTATAAATGTTACTGTTAACAGCAAACTGTATATGTATATATACACATTAAACCCTATTATTAAAACATGAATAGATAGAAGTCAAAAACCATTATTATAAAGATTACATCATTCAGCGATTGGCAAACCGATACTGTTCTTGTATAATTGCCGTATTCCAAGAAGTACGATCGTAACAGCTGGTTTTCCTAATACTCTCGTGAAGTCCTACATCTTCCACCTGTTGGCTGTCACAGTATCTATCATCCCCAGTACTGGCTCAGCCAAATTTTTCCCAGAAATCTTCGAAATGTATTTAAAAGATAAGTACAATCGTAGAGAAACTTCTCTTTAAAATATGTAAAAATCGAACATTTGAGCGCATATTTTTACTGTATATATTTACTAACAACTAGATAAATATGAATATTTGCGAATGTTTCTCCCACGCGTTTTCCCAATGCAGTAGTAGGTTTAGAATCGTAGGTGTCGTTTAAATCAATTGTCCCATCAAACGCCCACGTTTATAGAAACGCACAGGTATATTATCGAATTGATTTCCCTTTTTTTAATATATATATATATATATATAATACTTTCGAATAAAATAAAATTAAAATGTGGAAACAGGCAACGGAAGATATTAAATGGAAAATATATAGAAGACAGGAAATGAATAATAATCAAGAGGAAGAAAGAAAGATCTTAGATAAACGATAATTATGGAGATTAGTATATTAATGATAAATAACGTTATGAAGAAACAATAAACGTAATTATAAACAGTGTACTTATTACATAATTTCATTCCATTAACTCGTCGTAAATTGTTCGAAGTTATTGAAAGACGTGTTTAAATTTCATCCATTTGTAAATAATAATGATGATGATGATATTTTCAAAACACGAAAACGTCTCGTTTCTGTGACTTCCCTGAAGGTATTTTTGAACTATTTGTTTATAGAAACGTTCCCCAAAATACAGTAATTACGAATCAGTAGGAGGTTTGACCGCTTTCCTTTTAGGTTTTAGTAGAAATGAGATGGTCTCTTCTTAAAAGGAAATTAGTAAAATGTAATTAAAATTACTTTAGTAATTTCGAAGAATTTTTCCTAATTTACAAAATTAAAATACTTTGACCGTTCCATTAACATTTTCAAAGAAAAAGAAAATGAAACTTATACTTTTCTTGAACTCTGTGTGAACGAATTAAGAAAAAGAATTCTGCGGGAGGTAGGAAAAATATTTTGAGGTTTTAAAAATGTTCCAGGAGGTCAAATTAATAAACTATTTATAAAAAAAAATTTAGAAGATAAAGTTGGAATTGTTAGAGTCCATAGGGGAAAAAATGCTTTGTTACTGCTATGTTTTTTGAAGTAATTATGAAATTCGACCCTTTTTTACTGTACAAAGTAAAGCTCTACCATAAGATATCCAGTCGTTCTACTATCTCGAGTTACATTGATGAGTATGATTATTGCATCAAGCTACACACCTGGTAACGAGCAGGTGTGAAAATACTGCCAGACGTTCACGACCTCGGGGTTCAGATTGCGGACAGGAATCATGTGGACGAAAAAGATGGCTCGGATGCACAGGAAACGTGCTTTTATTGCCTTGACATTTGATATTTGTAAATCCTTAGCTAAGAAACACCTTGATGAATCAAATCCGATACGTCTACAGAAGTGTTTCCCTTAAAGCTAAAATATTATGTTACGCTAAATGTATTAAAATCTATTTTCTTTATAAATAAATTTTACTTAAGAATAGGAAATTTTTTCCTTTTTTTTCTTTTTAATTTCCGTTATACTTAAATGCTTTTTGAATTTGATAGGAGTTAATAAAATTAATGCAAAAGTGAACGCTTTTATTAGATTACATTTAAATTCATTTTAAATAAAGTAAAATGCTTATTTTTAGCTTCTTTTTCAATGTCAGACGTTTGATCGAAATCAATAAAACATCTACTATAAAATTAATAATTCAGATAATTAACTTGTAAAAACCACGCAATCGAAGCTTCAATTAATTTTTAGTACGGATGAGATTTCTCACGGTTATTTTTCTTAAAGAATATGTTAGAGTTTCGAACAAAGTTTTGAAAGGAATCGAAGGACATTTTTCTTTATATATATATATTTTTTTTTAATTTGTGAAAGAAATTTACACAATAAAATCGTCCCGAACATCAACTAGTTCTTGCACGAAATCAGAACTTAGATCTTAATTCGTTACGCTCCTAATAAAAAAAAAATCCAAGAGATTAGTTATTTTACTTTGTTAAGTATGTTTATTTGTTCATTAATCTGTCATATTTCTATCAGAAATTACCTGCCAACTTTATAAAGAGATAAGAGATGTCAAGTATTTAAGAAACTCCCTTATCGTTTAAGATCTATAATTGAACAGTTCAAATATAAAGATTTTTCGAGGCTTTCGATAAAGTAAAAGACGAATCGCCTTCAACTTTCTAACGAAATTCAATACACGATAACATTTTTAAAAAGGTCAAGATTAAAGAAAGTGAATTGGAAAGAGTTGCCAATAATAAAGAGATGCTGCGTTTAAAACCGGTTACAACATATCAAAGAAACCAATCTCTTCCTAGAAATCACTGTAATACAAAGACAACATTTTCCTATACAAAATTCCTGAAAAGGATAAAAGTTGAGTAATGAAATAAAATAGAAAGAGCAACAGGATCTTAAATAAACTACAAAAATTCTTTTAAAACAAACTCTTGTTATATTGATCGATCCTCTGCAGTTATCTCTCTAAAGAGTAAACAGACAGGAGAACTTATTAGCCATTTATGAAATTCCGACAGTTAATTAAGAATAGAAAACTCGATTTATATATTTAAAATTCGACTTTTAAATAGAAACTAGTATATTTAAAAACAATTACTACTAAAACAACGACATTGAAGAATAATGATAAGAAAAAAAAAACAATATAAAAACACAATAATAATCATAATAATTTCCGGGAATTTATTCACCTGTTCAATTCCCGGAATTAATATATGTTGAACTGGTTCCACACCCGTAGATTTTATAATTTAAAGAGAATTTTTACGATAACGTCATACAGGAAAATACACACACACACATACACACTTACCTTGCCAAGAAATTTTCCTTTCAAATAAGTTACTTTAGTACGTGGATCGACAATATATTCGGGTAGTTCGATATTATTATTGTTGTTATTAATGTTAATATTCTTATTATCGTTGTTGTTATTACAGTTTTTGAGATTTTTCTTCTTTTTTCCTAATTTTAAATCTCTCTTCCTTAAAATCTTAGATGAGTTTTTAACCTGCATTGTCGATAGCATCGGAGGATTATGAGACGTACGTACTGTACATCTATCTGACGACTCTAAGAGGTATCATTACTTTTCTCCGGTCTGGCGAAACGAAAATATAGTACAGTAGATGAGGAGTGTTCGGTATACACTAACAGCCGGTCGCACATACTATATTAGTCTATAGTGTGCCGCTAGAGGGAGAGAGAGTGCTGACTACACTCAGGCGATCTCATTATAGATGAGGAGGTACTCGATGTTGTGCACCTGCAAACTGTTCTATTGTTCTACTACTTCAAATTCTAAACTTCGGCTAATTCGCTAGAAGAAAAATTATAAAAAAAAGACATTTTCCTTTTTTCTATCGGGAAAAAATTTTTCTATACTTCATAAGTAATAATCAGTAAAATTATTTATTAAAATTTATAAAGTCATACGTGACGTCACGTGGTAATTTAATTATAATTTTAAATGCCTNAGGATCAAACTTTTTGTTTCCAAATGTACTTAATTGGAAATGACAAATGTACGAATGATATATAGATGCATGACAAAAATTTTCCCAATGTTTCAATTGAAATATTTTTTTTAACTTATCATTTCTAAACTAATTTCTTGTGTTTTAATGTTTTAGAAAAGATAAATTTGAAGAAATGTATATTGTGTATGTGATATATATTGTAAACATTTTACATTAATGTATGAATTTTTTAAAATTTAAGATTTTTGAGAGTTAATATCATACTACAGTAATTAAAAAAAAACAAAAAAAATGGCACACTTACTGGAATGAATGAAACAAAATATTGTCTCAAAAATAAACATCTGAAAGACAAAAATAGCATTTGCACAAAATATTTCCTATACAGCTTGCATTACATAAAACATCTCAAAAATATATGTATATATCACAATACAAGGACACCATTTTTTTTCTCTTTATAAATAAAAGTGATAATGATTAAAAATCTTTTGTTTCAGCAAATTGCTGAAGAACAGACAGTGCGTACTGAAGTCTTGTTCTTATACAAGGTTCACACCCTTGCTGTGCAATGTCGGATAACAGATAGCTAGTAGATAAGCGTTCTTCGCTTATATATGTTACAATTCCTTTCCTTTGATCAATACTAATCACTATTTTGGTATGATCTTTAAAAAAGTTTATCTATAAAAACATAAATAAAATCATTTCAGTTTAAGATATTTTTTAATTCAGTGTGTAAAGACATTTTAGTATTGACAATCACCTGCACTGTACCGGTACTTAGCTGCATAAGAATGGCATGAGATGTCCGCACCCATCGTTTCATGTGAGGAATGTGACTTTTACCTTTTTGTGGAGAATATTCAATCATGTGAGGTTCTCCACCCTAACAAAAATATAACAAATTCAATTCAGAATTTAGTTATTATAGAAATATATATATATATATATATTTTTTTTTTCTTTATAGGTTATGAAATAATGACGACATCTCATTCACTAAAAAATCGCCGTCATCATTATTTTTACTCTTATATGGACTCTATTTGAGGAAATGGACTGTTAAAAAAAAGTCTATTTCCTACAACTGTTCCTATCTTGGATCAAATCTTTTATCATTTTCACACTCTTGCAGGCCTTCCTTAATTCTAACCAGGCCAGTATGGTCTTCCTCTTCCTTTATTATTACTAAAATTCTGTATGCTTAATCTTTTTAGTACGTGATTCGAAAATTTTCTTTTGTCTATAATAATTTTTAATTTCCTCCTTTCAGTTTTAATTCGTCTTTATATCATTTTATCTGCACGAAATGATTTTTAGTGCTTTCAGATTACCATCCCAACGTATCGATCTATATAGCTTTGTAGCTCCAAACCATAAATTTCTCTCAGTCGCATTAATATATTTGATGCAATATATTATTGAAGATGAAACAAAGCATTCAAGGATATTCTTTACACGAAAAAGGAGGTTTTTACGAATTTCCTTTCAACTTTTAAGATGTAATTTATAAGTATTTTATTACAGAAGTAATACAACTTTAACACATTTCAAGAGTTCCTAAAATGTGTTTATATACTTTATACTTTTTATTACTTTTTTTTTATTATAAATACGAACTTATGCTATAATTATGTACATTAAAATGGATAACGATTCTTCGCTGGAATGTTATATTAAGCAAACAATAGAAGAGAAACTCGTATAAAACTCTTATGGCATGTGAGAAGAGAAGATAAGCAACATGAGAACGTCCACATCATCCGACTTATGCATCTAAGATAAACATAGTTTATACTGATTAAGTTTAAAGCCTTTTAAATCCATTATTGTATAATCTATCTGGTAAATATTTATAATTAAACTTATCTCGTGCCGTAACTAGTGGATAAAGCTTAATTTCTAATATATTAAAATTCTTTAAATGAATTTAATTACCGGAACTGTGTTACGTTTATGTTTAAAAATGATGAATTAACTATTATTCAGACTTTTATTTTTAAATTGAATAAAGAACGTAACGGTTTATCATTAATTCATTTCTTAGAAAAAGACTGTATAGGACTATACATATTAAATGTTGACATTACGATAACGCCTACATCACGGAGTCATTGCAGCAATTTTGAGCCAATATGCTAGCTTGTATAGTATTTATTTTTAGAATATTAACGGTTAAATCTTATAAATTTAACCTATCGATTGGGAAAAAGCTATAAAAGTATCGAATGTGCCTCTAATAGCAAGAGTATATTAAGGTTGATGATGCTTAATCTCATATCACTTTCTAGGAAACGATATTTTGTTTCATAGTAAAGTAAGGACTATGAACTGATCAATTACACATAATAGTGAGATATATGAGAAATATTCACTTAAATATCTTATCAATAAGTTAATCTACGTATATTTATTTTTAGGCAGTAATGGACATTTTCTTAAAAATTCTTTAAAAATAAATGGCAAGAATTGAGATTTTTATAATCTAAAACCTGTTGAGAGATTTAAAAAAATAAATATATATAAACTAGTTTAGATTATAATTTTCAGTTTCAAGAAAATAATCATAGAAATTTTCAACGTAAATAGATTTTACATATATAATATGTTATGATATAAAGATTATTTTATGTAGAGAAAGATCCATTCATCATTATCTGATGATAAAACACTAGATTACAATTATCAAACGCAGGAAATATTTCTAAATGTATTTTTAAAATTTCCCAATTAATCATTTCTTACATATGATTTCATCTGTAAAGTGTTTAGTAAGAAATTAGGACGAGTTACATACTCACACCCCACACATACAAACACACACACACATACACTCATTCTTAACTAGTTATAATCTTTAAGTATAAATATTATTTTAAGAGAAAAATATTTTAAATGTCCTAGTTTTGTTCTAGAATCTAGTTTGTGTGAACAAATAATAATAATAATAATAATAATAATCTAGTTGTAGAAGAGGAAAAAAAAACATAAAAAATAAAAATGATTGTCTCATCTGGAAGAGAACACCTTACAATATATGACGTCAGTGGTTGTCATGACAACTGCATCCTTCATTTTCTGAAGGTAGGATTAATCAGGAAATGCGGAGAATTGCATTTGCCATTTTATATAATGCCAGTAGTTAGAATGAAGGTATTTATACATACCGTCTATAGACATTCGGATGGATTTTCGAAATAGGATTCGATAGGAAATAAGATTCTTGTTGTTTCGTTACATCTGTTGAAGTAATGAGTCATTCTTAGTCATTTTTCTCTCTCATTTAATGAGTTTCTCAGAAAGGATGTTTTCCCATTTATTTTCATAAAATTTATAGTTTGGTAATAACATTCTAAAAAAAACGAGATTGCTTATTTATCACGGAAGAAATATTTTTCGATTAAATTTATATTTTAAAATTCTCATGATTAAATTTCAGTAACGGTTAATTCAAATAAATTAATTTAAAGAGGGAAAAATTAGTAATATAATATTTCACAAAATAAATATATTCTAATTTTATAATTTTTTTTATAAAAATAGAAAAAAAAAGATAATTTTTTTTCGTAAACAGAAAGGAACANATATTTTTTTTTTCTTTATAGGTTATGAAATAATGACGACATCTCATTCACTAAAAAATCGCCGTCATCATTATTTTTACTCTTATATGGACTCTATTTGAGGAAATGGACTGTTAAAAAAAAGTCTATTTCCTACAACTGTTCCTATCTTGGATCAAATCTTTTATCATTTTCACACTCTTGCAGGCCTTCCTTAATTCTAACCAGGCCAGTATGGTCTTCCTCTTCCTTTATTATTACTAAAATTCTGTATGCTTAATCTTTTTAGTACGTGATTCGAAAATTTTCTTTTGTCTATAATAATTTTTAATTTCCTCCTTTCAGTTTTAATTCGTCTTTATATCATTTTATCTGCACGAAATGATTTTTAGTGCTTTCAGATTACCATCCCAACGTATCGATCTATATAGCTTTGTAGCTCCAAACCATAAATTTCTCTCAGTCGCATTAATATATTTGATGCAATATATTATTGAAGATGAAACATTTTAAATTTTTAATATATTATTCAAATAATTTTCTTTGATTCTATATCGTATATTTTTTTAAAGGAAGAATTTCCGTAGAATTATAAAAACATAAATCTTATGCTTTAAGTCATATCACATTTTTGTAAACTTGCAGAAATTTGCAATTCATTCATATTATTTTCTGACTAAACGGAATGTATCATTTTAAAATTATTTTTTAGGATTAAATTATGAAAATATATAAATGATATTTTCAAAATGAAACAATAATAATTTCCTTCCTTAGAATTTATTTCAAAATAAGGAAATAAAGTGATTTAAGCTATTCATATTCATTAAAAAAAATTCTCTATAATTATTTAAATGTCTTCCAGATCTGATAATATTTTAGTAAAAGAATCGAAGCAGCTATTAATTAATAAAGATAAGATTATATTTTCTATTTTATTTTACTTAATGAATTTCTGAAGTAACAAAATTAATAGATGCCAATTTTGCAATTTATTACTGTTTATTACAACTAAATTATCAAAGTCTTGTTTACTCTATCTATTCTGAAATATTTATTGATAAAATGTATCATTTTAAGTATATTTTTATATATGCTTCTTATAAACATAAAACTAAAAATTATCTTTTATTAGAGTGAAAAATCTTTAAAATTTAAGTGCTTACTAGTTCATCTTTAGAGCATAATTCGTTCCAAACAAAAAAAAATCTTCATATTTATTTAAAATGTTTAATTTACTAGAATATATATCAGAATGTTTAACAGTTTTTGGAACAATTTATGCCCTGAAGATGGGCCAATAACTCCTGGATTTTAAAGATTTCAAGCATTATATATATATACACAAACACACACATATACATAAAGCTTGATAGCTTGATGTATATACAGTATATAAATCCTTATATACATAAAAATTTCGTATTTCCGTAAAGGTTATAGCTTTTTTTTATGTGGACCGAAATATAAAAAAAGCCATAAATTACATACTTGTATAGTTAAGATCTACTAAAATCGTGGATATTCATTATATATGAGGATAATAAAGATAATTCATTACATATATTATTTATACTTAAAAATTACCTACGAAATTACCTTTTTACCCACGAATTTGTATATACGAATTCTCTCATCTCATCAGAAAAACGTAGCAACAGATCAGTTCTAGTTTTGTTTTGATAATCATGATAAGAGGTAATATGTTTTTATGAACTGTATATAGAAAAGTTTTGAAAATTATCTGCAAAGATACGAAATTAACATCTAATTATTCTTTAATCTTCATTACACGACGTCACATTATTATCTAGCAGAACATTATGGTTAATGAGAAACAAAAATCATTCTACTCGAAAAATGTTATATCCCAATTACGTTCTTTTTTTTTTTTTAATAATAGTCTAATAGGCATTATTAGAGGTTGTAGGCAGTTTAATGCCTGAAGCTACCACGCTGTTTCGTTATTATGTCGTAAAATAAAATTTTATATTTGAGTTGTCTTATCAGCTATCTCTTCTACAATTATACAGTATTTACTCTATATAGTAGTTGATGTGTATGTAATCTTCGTAATTATTATTTGGACTTGATGTTATAGCTTGTTTGATTCATATCAATGCTTCATCTAACTTTTTCCTTTTTAATTTACTAAAGGTCGTTTTAATATTTTGAGAACATTGTCGAGCGCAGTTTCTTCTATCACGAAATAAATTAAAGAAAATAATATAATAATTCATAAAATCTTATGATGATTTAAAATTTTGAATTTTCTTGTAAGATTTATACGGAAGTTTACAAAATAGAATAGTAGAAGGAACTCGTATTTTATCATAACTTATAATCTATTATTTTTGATTGTTTGTGCTAATTTATTCGAAATTTTTTTCCCAAAGAAATTAATGGAAACAAGTATTCAATTTCTTTAAACAAGTAAATTTAAATAGTGAGAGAATAAATAATTTCTCTTCAAGATGTCGAAAGCTTTTACGTATACGTTCCAACATAAACAAACAGATGCTATATATTTCTTCCAAGTTATCATATTGAAGCATCTCTTCGCAATCATTTATCGGTTTGTTTCATCTAAGAAAAAAAATATATTGGCAATGGCGCCGATATGTTCTAAATATATTCTTTCAGGCGCCAAACTTCCCATTCTGACGACGGATTAATTAAAGGTGATGGTGGGAATGCTACAGATGAGAGGGATGATAATGTTCTATGATTCATAAAGAGCAAAATGGATTCTGTTCTAGATTAATATATTGTTAATCGCCGTTCGGTATCCCCATTTATCAATGGATAAATATCAGTCTTTGCGGTGCCACAGTAGATATATTTAACCTTGATGTTACCTAATACCTATCGATTTTTAGTGAAATGAAATCAAAACTATCGAGTTTAAAATCGAATGTTTTAATTTATCCAAATCAATTAATTCTGAAACAGACAAACGAATTTTATAATTAACGTCTCTCCTAAGAGGATTTTATAATTCAAACTTAGTAAATAAATTTTATACTTGTTCAAAAATCACTGGTGTAGACAATTATGAGGACTTTTAACCTACTGTTGAAGATATTACGTTTTAATATATATAAAACTTTTATAATTCAATTATTACGTGTTTCCATTTATACACGAATGATCGATGACTGGTCATGTCAGACATGCTTACTTATTTTGTAAGAATTTTAAATATGTTAAGCACAGATTTTTCAGTGTTTACATTAAATATATACTGTATATAAAAGAAAAACATTTCATATATATATAAAAATAAATGTATCAATATTACATCAGTTTTAAAATAATAATTTAATCATAACGCTTATCTATTGAAAATTAAACCTCTTTAAAATATCATTTCTTCTTAGAATAATTATAAAACTTATTGAAGATAATATTAATTTCATTATTATTTCCCCTCCTTAAATATATAACAAATCGTTAATACATAAACATGTAAAAGGAATACATATATATATTTATTTATTTACTAACAAAACATCGATTGCAATGTTAAATTATTGAAGATAAAACTGTATATTTAGATAAGAAGTTGCTGAAATCCTACAAGTGTAATACTAAAAGCAATCGTATTAGTATATATTCTTGGAAAGTAAAATTATCTCATTAATTATCCAGAAATCGCCTCCTTTTGGTTTTTAAACTGTTTCTTTATTAGCTTATTCCTACGAAAATTCTTTTAATTAAAGCTTAATTATCTATTAGTAACATTTATTAATGTAGTAGTAACAGCAGTTACGTATCAGGATTATATTGTAACTATTAACTGAACTAAGATATGCCATTCTTTACTGTATAATAATAATAATAATAATTCTAAGATATGAGAAAGTTTTTTTTTTGCCAGTTTAATTTATTATAATGGACGTCATACTATAAATAGCTACATTTATACACAATGCATCTAATGGAGCGTATAGTTATTGTAAAGTGAATCCAACACCACGTTTCATTATCTCTGATGAATATCTGACGTTTTATTGTCTAGAAAAGAGTTGGGTGGAGCAAAACCTTCGACATTCTGATGTAAACGTCAATAATTGACTAGGAAGGTTTTCCAGGAAGTATCAGCACGTGACCATTTCAATTCTTCAGCCTTAATATTTTTTTTCCTCAAATATTATTACATAAAAAAAATAAGTTTTTTTAAATGCTTGTTTCTACATACACAAGGAAAATATAAAAGTAAATTTAAGTAAAGCTATAAAATATATAAATATTTTTAACTTTTATTAGAAGATAAGAATTACAATTTTAATATATTAACTAAATATAAAACCAAGGATAAATTTATAATTTTTTTTATTCTATTATTTTTAAACATTTTTAAAAAAATAT